TTTCCCTCACAGCAGCTCAGCCCTGACCCAACCCAATGCCATTACCCAGGGAGGTGCTGAGGATCTCCTGCATGGTCCTTCACCTTCTCCCTCTCGTCCCTGAGACACCAACCAACCCCAACCTGCTCCATCACCTTCTCCATCCCATCCCTGAGACACCAACCAACCCCAACCTCCTCCATCACCTTCTCCATCCCATCCCTGAGACACTAACCAACCCCAACCTGCTCCATCACCTTCTCCATCCCATCCCTGAGACACCAACCAACCCTTACCTGTTTCTTCACGTTCTCAATCTCCGCCCTCAGCCTCTGGATGTTCCTGGACAGCTCCTGGATCTCCATCTTGGTGTTGCGGAGGTTGTCCCCGTGTCGTCCTGCTGTGCTCTGCAGCTGCTCATACTGCAGACCCCGAGACCAAACAACCTCATACTGGGGATGAATCAACTCATCAGTGACACAACCAGCCAAGAGCTCAGGTAGTTCCAAGGTGCTTTGAGACCTTCCAACTCACCCTGCTCTGGTACCAGGCCTCGGCCTCAGCTCTGCTGCTCTGGGCGATCTGCTCGTACTGTCGTCTGACCTCCTCGATGATGCTCTCCAGGTCCAGGTGCCTGTTGTTGTCCATGGACACCACCACAGACAGGTCCCTGCTGATGGTCTGCATCTGAGACAGCTCCTGCAACCAAACCATGGGTTAGGGGAACCATCTGAGGAGGGGAGAGAACAGCAGCAGCTTCTCCAAACCAAACCCACATGGACATCCAGTCCAACCTCAGTGTCTTTGGCCACCACAGTTTCATTGCCACTTCCCCCAGGGGAGGGAGAGCTCTTACCTCCTCGTAGATGCACCTCAGGAAGTTGATCTCATCAGTCAGAGCTCCCACCTTGGCTTCCAGCTCAACCTTGGTCATGTAGGCACAGTCCACATCCTGAAGGAGAGATCACATGGACGAACAATGGTTTCCATCCGTCCCTGGAGGCTGGTGGCACCCAAAGCCTCTTGTCCCCTCACACCTCCCATGTGGACTCACCTTCTTCAGCACCACAAACTCGTTCTCAGCAGCTGTGCGACGGTTGATCTCCTCTTCATACCTGAGGGAGGGAACAGGATGAGATGAGACTCTCAGACCTCTCATCACCAACCCGTGGAATGTCCACGCGGGGTCAGCTCACCCCGATGGGCTCTCCCTCCTCCCTCCAGCCCTCGTGGCACTCACTTGGTTTTGAACTCCTCCACGTACTGCCTCATGTTCTGCAGCTCTGACTCCAGCTGTCCCCTCTGCCCCAGCAGAGACTCCAGCCTCCTCCGCAGGTTCTGGATGTAGTTCTCAAAGATCACATCCAGGTTCTTCCTCGGCCCTTGTGGCCCTTGTTGCTGCAGCAGTTCCCACTTGGTGGACAGGACCTTGTTCTGCTGCTCCAGGAATCGCACCTAGAGCCACAAAGGGGGAGAGATTCCCTGGGGAGTCATCCTGCTGCTCCAACCTCCTTCAGGAGGCCACGGGAGTCATTCCCCACATCCTGTGGCTCACTCAGCATGAGAAGTGACACTGAGCTGATCTGTCACTCGTTAACCTTTGATCCTTCTCCACTTCCCTTCTGGGACAAAGAGCTGTTGCCGGGAAGGAACATCATCCCAGTTTTCCATAGCATCGAGGATTTTCCAGTGGTGAAGTTAAGAGAAATGAACTTAGTCATTCCCCAACTGCCCATAAATTCCCTCGGGAGAAATTCTCCGTTCCTTCGGTTTCCAGTGGAAACCACAAGAATCCAAAGGGTCTTGGGAAGGTCTTTAAGGCTCTGAAGTTTCTGCAATCAGGTTTGGAGCTGCAGGACTCATCCCAGAGCAAATCCCAGCGATGGGAACTCTTGGGCCAATTAACTTTACGGTGATGACTTTGCCCTGAATCATCTGAAACGAAGCTGCGGAGGCAACTTGGCAGGAGAATCCACACAGAATGACCTGTGGACCTTCCCTTTCATCTCCATTAGCTCCAAACCTCCTCTATCCCACACTGCTAATTAGTGAAACCTTCATAACTCCAACTCCAACCGTCGGGGAGGGAAAAATTCCCATTCCACACTCCTGGGAAGCTGTTGGAGATGGAACCACAAACAAACCCAGTCCTGAGCTCTCACCTTGTCAATGAAGGAAGCAAATTGGTTGTTCAGGGTCTTGATCTGCTCCTTCTCCTGGTTTTTCACTTGCTGGATTTGGGGGTCGATTTCAACGTGGACGGGACGAAGGAGGTTGGGGTCAACTTGCACCGGTTGGATCCCTCCAGGGAACCCAGGGCCACCAAAGCCACCCATTCCACCACCTCCCATACCACCACCTCCCATTCCACCTCCCATTCCACCACCCATTCCACCACCCATGCCACCACCAAAGCCACCCATTCCTCCACCACCACACATTCCACCACCCATTCCCCCACCAAAGCCACCCATTCCCATTCCTCCTCCTCCCATCCCTCCGCAGCTCATTCCTCCGCCGTAGCCTCCCATCCTTCCTCCATAGCCACCGCCACCGTAGCATCCACCCATGGCAATCCTTCTGCTGCTGCCCATGTTATGGAGGCTCCGACTGCTCCCCTCCTCCTCCTCCTCCTCCTCCTCTGGACGAGGAGTAGGAGCTGTAGCTGACTCTGCTGCGGCCACCACCACCTCCAAATCCACCACCGACGGCAGAGCAGGAACTGAATCCCTTTCTCCCCCCGACGCCAAAGCTCCTGCAGACAGACTGACGAGACATGGCTGGTTTCTCCCGAGTGGAATCAAAATCCAAAGGAGCAGAAAGACCCGAGGAGCTGATGAAGGATTAGAGAGAAGCCTGTAGAGTCTTCTCTGGCTCCGCAAGCTCCAGGCATTCCCTTTTATCCGCTGCTGGAGGTGGGTCGGGACCGTTTGGGCGTGAAGGGAGAAAGCAATTTGGCATTTTCATCAGCTGGAGGTTGTTGACAGATTCTCAGCTGAGCTTTGCCATATTTGGGCCTCCCCAGAAACACGCCCTGTAATCTAGAGGCGGCTGAAGCGGAGCATCCAGGCAGCTCCGTGACTAAGTGGACTCCTCTATCTTTATGACATCTTGGAAGTCAATCTGGGCCGTAATCCCCTCTCCCTTTGGCCCCTGCTGGGATTCTCAGCCCTTGTTAATGGCTCCCCAATAATTCCAGATAGAGATCTCCCAATCCGGGCTGCGCTTTTGATGAAATTCCAGCTATAATGTGCCTTTCACAACTCCCCAAACACGCCCTAAATCCCCTTTTTATATGTCAGATCGCCCTTGGCGTCGCGGGAGATGTTTCCCAATCCTCAAGGGGAATTCACGACAGGAAAATTTGAGGAGACTCAGCAGATTCTGCTGCTGGAGAGGGAAAACATCCCTGGGATGGAGTCACTGAGATGGGAGTGTCTTGCACCTGCTGATTAAATTCCCTCCACCTGCATCTTCCCACAGGTGGGATAAGCAACTGGGGCTGCGGATGGTGCTGGAGCAGAGGGAGAAGGTGATTGGGATGATCCCACTCCTCTCAGAGTTCTGAGGGTGAGAGGGAATGGTGAAGATGATTGGGATGATCCCAATGCTCTGAGGGTGACTGGGAATGAGAGGCTGGAGCAGAGGGAGAAGGTGGTTGGGATCATCACACTCCTCAGAGTTTTGAGGATGACAGGGAATGAGATGTTGGAGCAGAGGGAGAAGGTGATTGGGTTCATCCCATTCCTCTCAGAGGTCTGAGGGTGAATGGGAATGAGAGGCTGGAGCAGAGGGAGAAGGTGGTTGGGATGATCCCACTCCCCTCAGAGTTCTGAGGGTGACAGGGAATGAGATGCTGGAGCAGAGGGAGAAGGTGGTTAGGATGATCTCAATACTCTCAGAGCTCTGAGGACGACAGGGAATGGTGAAGGTGATTGGGATCGTCTCAATACTCTCAGAGTTCTGAGGATGACAGGGAATGACAACCCAAGGAAGAGCAAAGGGACATGTTGGAACCTTCAAGACAAACATTCTGGAGGAGGAACCAAGGATGGACAATTCCAGGTGCTGAGAGGTTCCTGCTCCTCAGGAGAACTCCACCACCTCCAACTGACTTGTCCTCCCCCAAAAATGAGATGAGCAACGTGGAAAAACCCACGGAGAGACGGAGCTGCTGCAACCCCCAAGGCACAGTATTTCCTCTTGCTTCCAAATATGCTGCTGGGGAAGGAATGTGGCTTAGAGATGGAATTTCTGGGATGGCTCTGAAATAAACTCCTTTTTTTTCGGGCATGTAAATGAAACACTGGTGAATTTTTCCATGTGAACCAGTGTGTGATGGCCAAAAAAAAGCTGCTCTGAGGAGATGCAGATGCTATTCCAGAGCCATTTTGGAGGCTTTATCTGTCTAGAAAGTATCAATTAAACATATTACTGACTCAGTTCATTAAGCAGATAATGAATTTCCTTCTTTTCCTAGAGCTCAGCCAGAAAAAAAAAAAAACAAACCACTGAGAAAGTGACCAAAAATACACATTGACCCATGGGAAAATGACTTCAAACTTGGTTTGAAGGTCATTCCAAAGAGCCAGGTGGAACAAACACCTTGAGAAGGAATTTTCAGGGTGTCCAAGGAGGTTTGGGTGACTAAATGTGGTCGGGAAGGATCAGTGACACAATTGTCCCTGATTGTCACTGGGTCAGAGGTGCTGAGCACCATGGGCAGAGCAGAATGGGGCGTAGAGAGGGGAGAACATTCAGAGGGAGTCAACGGTTGGCCAAGGGTTGTCTCACCCTTGAGGAACTCAACACCACTTGGCCAAGGGTTATTTCAGAGGGAGTCAACCGTTGGCCAAGGGTTGTCTCACCCTTGAAGAACTCAACACCACTTGGCCAAGGGTTATCCCACCCTTGAGTGACTCAGGTAATGATTGACCAAAGCCTTTCCCACCCTAGATGGGCTCAACAGTTGGCTAAGGTTTGTCCCACCCTTGAGGGACTCAACAGTCAACAGTTGGGGTTGTCCCACCCTTGAGGGACTCAACAGTTGGCCAAGGGTTGTCCCACCCTTGAGGGACTCAACAGTTGGCCAAGGGTAGGGTTGCCCTTGAGGGACTCAACAGTTGGCCAAGGGTTGTCACACCCTTGAGGGACTCAACAGTTGGCCAAGGGTTGTCACACCCTTGAGGGACTCAACAGTTGGCCAAGGGTTGTCACACCCTTGAGGGACTCAACAGTTGGCCAAGGGTTGTCACACCCTTGAGGGACTCAACAGTTGGCCAAGGGTTGTCACACCCTTGAGGGACTCAACAGTTGGCCAAGGGTTGTCACACCCTTGAGGGACTCAACAGTTGGCCAAGGGTTGTCACACCCTTGAGGGACTCAACAGTTGGCCAAGGGTTGTCACACCCTTGAGGGACTCAACAGTTGGCCAAGGGTTGTCACACCCTTGAGGGACTCAACAGTTGGCCAAGGGTTGTCACACCCTTGAGGGACTCAACAGTTGGCCAAGGGTTGTCACACCCTTGAGGGACTCAACAGTTGGCCAAGGGTTGTCACACCCTGGAAAGACTCAGTGGTTGGCCAAGAACCATCCAGATGTGTGTTCTGCAGCTGGAGAGCAGCAGCATCCCCACAGCAGGGAGGGGACACCTTCCCTTCCCAAAGGAGCCTGAACCAAGAGTCTTTTCTCCACTGTCATCTCCAAGGTGGAGATTGAAGCTCTCCAGCTCATCCCCCAGCCCAGTGCACTCACTCATGAGGAGCAGCCGTGGGGAGGTGCAGGGTGGCTTGGGTTTAGGTCATGCCTTGTCCTGGCCTCCCTCCAGGTTGCCAAACCCATGGTAGGAAGCACCAGGACATCCCACATGGAGGTTCCACGTGGAGGAGGAAGATGTGCAGAGTCAGCCAGATGCTTTGGTGCTGACCACACACAGCTCCAGTAGATAAGACGCCCAGATTGAGTCACTCCGATGTCTTCAGACGAGATGTGGAGATTATTCCAAGCCTTGGAGTCACTTCTGCCTCCTCCAGGGGACACTCAGCACCAGCCCTGAGCTCCAGCAGGTCCTTTGGACAAGGAAAGATCATCCCCAGCAGGGAAACATGAACTCAGCAGGACACTTGGATGGAGCCAGAGCCTGGTGGGACCTTCACATCTCACCCAACCAAGAGCTCCTGTCGTGAGCCACGTGGGTGAGAGTGTTGCAAGGTCTCCTCACAGCAGCTCTACAGGGCCAGGCTTGGCTTGAGAAGCTCAGAAGAAACACCGTCTCTAAGTGAGAAACCAAACCAGGTGATTAAGCCCCAAAACAGGTGATTAAGCTCCAAACCAGGTGACTCTTGCCCCAAGCCAAACCCCAAAGTGCTCTTGGCACAGCTCCAGCTTCTCACCAGGTTTTGTCTTCTCAGCGTCTTTGCTTGGGCTGAACTCAGTCCCAGTTGTTCCCAATGCTGACTCCCTTCAGCTTCCCAGGGAGTGCAGTTCCCTCTCCCAGGACTCCTGGAGCTCTTCCCTCTTGCCTTTCCTGGACTTCTCCCTCTCTCTGCACCTTCCTGACCTGCTCTGGGGGCACCAGCAGCTCCCACAGGCTGTTGTGGGACTTCTGAACCACCACTGACAGCGTTTTCTGCCCCTTTGATCTCTGCTGGAGGAGGAGGAGGAACCACAGCCCAGCTGAGATCAAACACTGCCCTCCTGGGCCCTCTCCTCCAGCTGCTCCACATCTCTCCCTGCTGCTCCTGGAGCAAGGAAGAGCCACTGGGGGAGTCACTTGGCTCCTGAGGGAGCTGGTGGGGCCTGAGCTCACAGGTCTGGGGTGAATCACACCTTCCCAGTCCGGCGCGTTCCCACGGCTGGAGCGGTGGCTCATCCCAAGGGAGGATGAGTGTGTGGCTGACTCTCCATTCCAGAGGCAGCTGCTTGGCCAAGGTCCATCTCCACGTTCACCCACTCTCCCACCCCTGCCCATGGGACAAATGGCAGTGATGGAGCTCCACCACCTGTGGTGACCCCCCAAAACATCTCCCAGAGCACCAATCCCAACACTCTCCATGCCAGTGGCAGGTGCTTGGCCAACATCCATCTCCCCATTCACCTGCTCTCCCACCACTGACCACGGGACCATCACTGCCATCTCCTTCTCCTAATGTGGATCAAAACATCCTCCATCTGGAGATGATCCAAAGGAAGTGTCAGGAGTTGGGGCTTAATTGCTTTGGTTGGTCCAAGGGCTGTGACACCTTCCCTCCAGTGGGAGGTGTCCCTGCCCACGACAAGGGATTGGAATGGGATGAACTTGGAGGTCCTTTCCAACCCAAACCATTCCAGGTCTCCAATCCTGACTCATGCTCCTCATGGTTTGCTTGGAGCATCCAACCACCACCACTCCAGTGTGGGATTGTGCCTGCAGGGAAGAGCCAGGAGGCACCAGCTGAGCTTGGACTCATGTCCTGCCCCATCCCACACCTCTCTGGAGCCCTCAGAGCACAGGTAGGACACATTGGGCAGAAGAACAATTCCCACCCTACCCAGGAGCAGCTCCGGAAGCAACGACACAACAACATCCTGAATGTTCTCTGCACTTTATTGGGAATGGCAACATCCCGAGGAGGGAGGACAGGCCATGGAGCAGGAGAGGGAGGTGGGGACAGTACATCTCGTGCCAGATCACACGGGACCAGCACAGAAGAGCAATTTCATCTCCTCAGGAACAGTCCAGGTGTGTGTGAGGTGTCCCAGGCGTCACCAGGAGCAAGGCCAAGTGGAGTGGAAGCCA